CCCCAAAACCCCAAAACCCCAAAACCCCAAAACCCCATAATTATAAATATTTGTTGAAAAGTAGTTTAGGAGGCAAAAAGTAAAATTTTTGGGTAAGAATAAGCTCACCTAAATTTAGTGTCCCAAAAATAAAATGTTAGTACTCTAAGAAAAGGAAGAAGGCCAATGTGAGATGATCATTTGAGCTCAAGGTGAGAAAAATGAAAAATTATGGTTGATGTAAGTTAATCTTAGCAGTTTGGAAGATCTTTAAGTGAAACAACATTTAAAATTGAGTTCTAATCATTTTTATCTATACTTTTAATTCTAAATTTTTGTTCAAAAAAGTTCAACATTATATTTTCCTGAGTTTAATTTTTAACTATTAGCGAGTATACCTTAATCTGCCCTCTAAAATTAGAAATGTATCCAAATCCATCATTCTTAATTCAAAAATAGTGTAGCCATTACAAGCATAGCAAGTGCTGAAGAGATGACTGATCCAAAAGCGCCATCATCGTTCTCCACGATGTTACCTACAAGGCCGATTCTCATGCCTGTGTCTGAGTCTTCGTCATAAATCTTACCTCCGTTGATATCATGTACAACATAATAATCGAAGAAGAAGTTATCTCCGAGGAGGATAATGTCATTATCGCCTTCAAATTTAGCAGGTAGGATCTCTATAGCTCATTCTCCTTGTCCAGCATCCTTAATGATCAAATCAGAGTTTAAGAAGGCCATGTAGCCATTCATTGAGATACCTATATCATCGAAATTTCCAATGCAAGGGCAATGCCAAAGGTCAAGCCCTTGGAACTGCTTTATAGTGCAAGATTGTCCTTCTGTTTTAGTATAAAAACCATTGATAATGGCATATAGGATATTCTCACTCATTGTGGTGATACTAGTGCCTGAATCAAAGACTACAAGCCCTCCCTTGCTTGACAATATTGTATCTCCATAGTAAACATGTCTGAATTCTGTCCACCAACTATCTTTGTTATAGAGGTTAATCCATTTAATTTCTTTTGGGTCTGGAACTCTCTCTGTGTCATATCCTCCTAGAGTAATGAATGAATCTTGCCCGTTTGGCTTGATTTCTAGCCCAAACATATCATCAGGAATCAGCCCTTGCTTGTGAAGCTGAGTAACGAATAGATCTGTATTTTTAGCAGGGGAAGGAGCTAATCCCAAGATTCCATCAGCAGGAATATTTCCAATATCGTGAGCTTCGCTAACTCCAATGATATTCATTGTTATTGGTTCACTATCAGCAGTGATTCTGACCTCATCTGTTGCGATATTTCCTGTAGCAAATTGCCCATCAACATAAGTAGCATTGCCGATCTTGCTGCTAGGCTTATTAGTACCAGAATCTGGGGTGTATGGGTTCACACCTGGCCAATTGCAACTAGTACAGTCATCAAGTGCAACCCAGAGCCATGGAGATCCTGTGTCAAAAAAGAAAGTATGCTCTTCTTTATTTCCTCCCAAGCTAAGCTTGCCTGTATATGCTGCGTCTTGATTATTCTGCAGCGTGATTTTAATTGGAGTGGACTCATCACGTTTTTGAGCAATAGCATCTGATTCTATTTTCATCATATCTCGAATGATAAAAGTAGGACTCCTGTCTTCAGGTTTTCTGTAGACATTTAGCTTCTTTGCAGTCGTGGCAGCTACCATGAGTGAGAGTCAAAGAAGACACCACATCATTTTGATAGTAATTAAATTGCCCATTTCCCTATTCTTTACTATTATAAAATTTCAATAATTTTTAAGCAAAAGGGGTTTTGGGGTTTTGGGGTTTTGGGG